GCTTTGTAACATCTTTTAAATAGCTCTTTGTAATATTTTGTTATTATTTAATTGTTATTTTTTTTCTTTTTCCCCTTGCTATTACCGGTCGGACTACTCTTCATGTTATGTCCTTTATCTTTTATGCGTTTTATCTTTTATTTGTTAGCAACGTGCTCGCCACGTGTTCGCGCATGGACACGATATCTTTTTACACGTGTATCGGGTGCCCTTCGAATTGTGTGACTTGCATTGCCATATATCGCCTTTCATGCCGGTTTTCATATTTGTATCCTATTGATATGCACATGTATATAAACAGCACTCGTGCCATAAACTGTATTCTGATAAAGGCCAGACCCGTGGCCGAAACGTCAATGAAATCACTTCGTACGTGCGTCTTTTTCACTGCGGATATATATATATATATATATATATATATATATATATATATATATATATATATATATATATATTATATATATATATATATTATATATATATATATATATATATATATATTTAGGCAGGCGTGGTGGTTGAGTGGCCGTAGCGTTGCATATTGTCTAGTAGATCCTCCATGAGTGGTCACAACGTGGTTTATTTTGATGTTTAGGCCAGACTCTAGGCCGAAACGTCGAAATAAACCACGTTGTGACCGCTGACGGAGGATCTACTAGACTATATATATATATATATATATGAAAGTAGATGCGCTTTCACATAACAACTGTTTATTGTGTCGACGTTTCGACAGGAACCCTGTCTTTTCCAAGGCATAAAGACAGGGTTCCTGTCGAAACGTCGGCACAATAAACAGTTGTTATGTGAAAGCGCATCTACTTTCATATTTATAACCTTGCGGCAACCGAAGTTATTCTCCTGTATATATATATATATTATATATATATATATATATATCTATATATATATAATATATATATATATAGATATATATATATATATATATATATATATATATATATATACTTTTATAAGATTAATGCTGTAAATTTGTGACTTCCCATGTTCTGTGCTGCATATACCTATGCTTGCCAACAAATTAGTTATGGAGAGCTTCGCTGTAAGAGTTTCAGTATCACTATGAGGGTGCAGAATTCGAAACACCACGTTCCTTGCAACCCCGCTTTTTCTCGATAAAGCAACCGGCTTGGCGTTCTGTCAAAAGTTAACGACGTCGAACAACCGTTACAGTTGCTATGGAGCAGTGTGTTTTGCACTCTACATGGTTGAAGTGCATACAGACGCAAAATTAATTTTGTTATCTGGAATTATGCGTTTCCCTCTTACGGGAAGCCTTTTAGTGACGAAAACTTTATCGACATGGTTGGCTTACAAACTGCACAATGCCAGAGTCTGCTGCTTCTTATCAATAAGTACGCTATCTCGTACACCTGTCTCTCACATACCATTTGCTGTTCATGAGGGTGTCGTCTATTTGAATCCACTGTCTAATTGTGGGCGTAGGATGAACAATTGGACAATCGTAAAAGACAATATCAGAATGTATGAGGTGATAACTGACGTTCATTTACACAAGGCATAGATTCGGATTCGCCTTATAAATAGGCGGCGAACTTTGTCTGAAAAAAAAAGGCAACAGAGCGTGTTCAATCTGTTCTCTTTCAAGCAGGAACAGCGGAAGACCTGAGCAAGTGAGTCACCATTGTACATACTTTCGTATTCAAAACGTTTAGCCACAATATTCACGTGAGTGTAATAAAACGCTCGTTTCGCTAAATTCCGGGGTCCACGTCATTGAAAGTAAGCCATAACTAGTCGTGTCACTGTCTGAATAGTCGAGAAAGAAACATAACATAAATAATGAAAATTTCCGATATCGAGTGTAGATAGAAGCGAAGTCGTCTACGATGCAAGCAGCTGTTACACCACATAGTAACAAGATTTGTTGATACTGCCCGAAAAAAAAAACAGCATATGAATCTCTTGTTTGGAACGAGTCTCTTTAACGCATCATATATTACTTGCCAGAAGCGTAGAATTGCGCCAGGCGCTTGAGAATGAAATTGAACACTGATGGGGTGCTTTACATTCCCACCTATCACAGAGCGCGAAGACATAATTAGTCAGCAGCAGCGGCAGAACCAACATCAAAGTGTACAGTGGCGTCGGTTCCCGTGTTGTCCTACGGACACGTAGTGAGCTCTTCGCTATTCGCGAAAGATGTAATTGTGGCTTATTGAGTACCTAACAACTGTACTTGCAGTAGCCATTCCATGATACTTTGAAACGACGGATGTTATGCCCGTAGTAGTCCGTTTCTCTACGGTACGGTTGAAGCAGGCACCGAGAACCAAAGCAGTAAGGTGATGGCCGAGAGGCATGATTGCGGTATTGCGACCAGCTCTTGAAGGCGAAGCTTGAGTGTTCTCCAATTTTGGTTTCTTCACAAAACAGGAATATAGTGACTAATTTACTCATACAAAGTATAAAGGTAACAAAAATAACCACTTTTTGCGAGAACTGCCACGGGTGTCTCATGAAGTTGTTAGTAGCGAATATTACCAAACCACGTACACGAAATTTGTGCATGGTTTGATGATACAGGCAATATTTTATTACAGACAATTCTAGTCTCATGAAGTGTATATGTATTATTATAGCTTATACAACAAGAAGGCTTTCATCATTATCCTCCTCATTGGCATTGTGGCCTCAAGTTGTGAGTATTTTGACAAAAAATAAGTTGTGCATAGAAAATTGCCGAAGTGTTGTAAATAAGGCTGTTGAGTTAGAAGGAGTTCTGCTCTCACAGAATCCTGACATAGCTTTCCTAACTGAAACATGGTTACAAATTCGATCTATGACAGCGAAGTGTTTCCACCGGGTTTCAGTGCTTATAGAAAGGATCGCAGCTCGAAAGGAGGAGGTGTATGTATTCTGTTTAAAAAGGGGTTAAAATTAATTAAAATGCCAGATATGCCTAATGCCGAATGTATCTTTTGTAAGGTCAATCATGGTAACACTAGATATGTATTGGGTGCTTTATACAGATCCCCTGGTTCTTCAGTCAATATTATCGATGAGCTAAAAAAATATATGAAAACTTATGTAAAGCCGGGTGACCGAATAATCTTGGCAGGTGACTTTAATCTGCCAGGTGTTGATTGGCCAACAATGACACACATTAGTCAATGCGATGCTTCCGCAGATACCATGATAGACATTGCTTTTCAACATGATTTATCACAAGTAGTTGAAAGTTACACAATGATTCAAGGCAGCTCGAAATCAATTCTAGACCTTGTCTTTGTTTCTAGAAATATAACACATGATTGCGTTTGTGACATTGTCCCCGGTATTTCCGATCACCTTGCTGTAGTGCTAACCGTGTCAAATCTTTGTGTCTGTGAAAAACCCAAGGTGACTACTTTTTATACTTTCGTTAAAGCCGATGATGAGTCGATACTCGATATCCTTTCTTTCATTTTGATGATATTGCCGATAGTGATGATAGTGTAAATGATCTTTGGATTAAGTTTACGGGCATTGTAGCAAAAGCATTGAGCGTTATGTCCCAACCACGTGTAAAAAGCCCAGAACCAAGAAACCCGTGGATAACTAGGGAGACATTGAATGAGAAGGAGGGTAAAGCGATTAAAAAAGAAAAGTAAACTTGTTGTGCTGATTTCAGTTGTCAAGAAAGAAATTGCAGAATTGACATCTCAAATTAAACTTAAGGTTATTTCAGATAAAAAACATTACTTGGTGAGTCCTTACCTAGCTTCATTACTTAATCGCCAGAGAAGTTTTGGAGAACAATTTCTCCTAAGTCAAATGAATGCGAAATATTTGATGACGATGGCAGAGAGATAAGTGATCATGAATCAATCGCGAACCTTTTTAATGAACACTTCAGATCGGTTTACACTGAAGACAATGGTACCTTGCCAACTTTTGATGTCTCCTTACCTCCCATGTCTGATGTTGTTATCTCGGAAAGGGGTATCTTAAACATGTTACTGAAACTAGACACGAAAAAATCACCTGGTCCTGATTGCATACCCAATGACTTTTTAAAAAGGTATGCAGAATGGACATCAAAGTATTTGTACGTACTGTTCTGTAAATCATTACTCGACGGTGACTACCGCAATGATTGGGTAACTGCCCGAATTAAACCATTACACAAAAAGGGAAACCAACACCAGGTCGGTAAACTATAGACCATTTCATTAACCTCAACATGTTGCAAATATTAGAACATATAATACACCAAATAAGATCGTAGAGTTTCTCACAAACACAATTTCTTAACTAGACATCGCATGGATGTTAGAAAAGGTTTTTCAACCTGCACTTAGCTAGTTTGAAACCGTACATGACTTTGCGAAAAAGTATTAACCACGGCAAACAATTAGATGCAATTTTTTGGACTTCGCCAAAGCCTTCGATAAGGTTTCCCACAAAAAATACTTTTAAATTAGAGAAAATACTTAAAAACAAAAAGTTAATGGGCTGGCTCTCTTTCTACCTAACTAAACGACAACAACTTGTTTCTTTTCGCGATTGCAACTCAAAATATGTAATGGTTGGTTCTGGCGTTCCCCAGGGCTCAGTTCTAGGGCCTCTACTGTTTCTTTGTTCATTAATGATATTGTAGAACAAATTCCTGTTAAAGTGAAACTTTACGCAGATGACTGTGTTTTGTACTCTACATGGTTGAAGTGCATACAGACGCAAAATGAATTTTGTTATCTGGAATTATGCGTTTCCCTTTTACGGGAAGCCCTTTAGTGACGAAAACTTTATCGACATGGTTGGCTTACAAACTGCACAATGCCAGAGTCTGCTGCTTCTTATCAATAAGTACGCTATCTCGTACACCTGTCTCTCACATACCATCTGCTGTTCATGAGGGTGTCGTCTATTAGAATCCACTGTCTAATTGTGGGCGTAGGATGAACAATTGGACAATCGTAAAAGACAATATCAGAATGTATGAGGTGATAACTGACGTTCATTTACACAAGGCATAGATTCGGATTCGCCTTATAAATAGGCGGCGAACTTTGTCTGAAAAAGAAGGCAACAGAGCGTGTTCAATCTGTTCTCTTTCAAGCAGGAACAGCGGAAGACCTGAGCAAGTGAGTTACCATTGTACATACTTTCGTATTCAAAACGTTTAGCCACAATATTCACGTGAGTGTAATAAAACGCTCGTTTCGCTAAATTCCGGGGTCCACGTCATTGAAAGTAAGCCATAACTAGTCGTGTCTCTGTCTGAATAGTCGAGAAAGAAACATAACATAAATAATTAAAATTTCCGATATCGAGTGTAGATAGAAGCGAAGTCGTCTACGATGCAAGCAGATGTTATACCACATAGTAACAAGATTTGTTGATACTGCCCGAAAAAAAAAACAGCATATGAATCTCTTGTTTGGAACGAGTCTCTTTAACACATCATATATTACTTGCCAGAAGTGTAGAATTGCGCCAGGCGCTTGAGAATAAAATTGAGCACTGAGGAGGTGCTTTACATCCCCACCTATCACAGAGCGCGAAGACATAATTAGTCAGCAGCAGCGGCAGAACCAACATCAAAGTGTACAGTGGCGTCGGTTCCCGTGTTGTCCTACGGACACGTAGTGAGCTCTTCGCTTATTCGCGAAAGATGTAATTGTGGCTTATTGAGTACCTAACAACTGTACTTGCAGTAGGCATTCCATAATACTTTGAAACGACGGATGTTATGCCCGTAGTAGTCCGTTTCTCTACGGTACGGTTGAAGCAGGCACCGAGAACCAAAGCAGTAAGGGGATGGCCGAGAGGCATGATTGCGGTATCGCGACCAGCTCTTGAAGGCGAAGCTCGAGTGTTCTCCCATTTTGGTTTCTTCACAAAACAGGAATATGGTGACTAATTTACTCATACAAAGTATAAAGGTAACAAAAATAACCACTTTTTGCGAGAACTGCCACGGGTGTCTCATGAAGTTGTTAGTAGCGAATATTACCAAACCACGTACACGAAATTTGTGCATGGTTTGATGATACAGGCAATATTTTATTACAGACAATTCTAGTCTCATGAAGTGTATATGTATTATTACAGCTTATACATCATGAAGGCTTTCATCATTATCCTCCTCATTGGCATTGTGGCCTCAAGTTGTGAGTATTTTGACAAAAAATAAGTTGTGCATAGAAAGAAGTTTTCCACAATCCTTTCGAATATCGAGTTTGTTTTAATTTTTGCAAACACTTGTCACCTGACCTTTATGTGTTTTTTTTAAGTTAACAGGCGGGGATGATATATGCATACACATCTCCCCTATTTCATTTACTTGAGTCATATTCTTTGTCCATCCTTGACGTAGGGAAAGTGCTTTTATAAATTGCCATTACGGTGCTGGGAGTCCACAGGTCTTCCCGCTCACTTTATTCAGAGTTGCAGCTAAAATAAAGACAGCGCCACAGAATTAGTCTTCGAGATTTATTGATTAATATGTGGGGTTTAACGTCCCAAAACCATATTCTTCGAGACAAGCTAAACAGTTTGACCTATGTGCCAAATCTATCATCTGAATGCCAGCGTTAGTAAGATCTCTGCCAGTGAGTTTAATCCACGCGCCATGCTCTTTAGCTCATTGTCCTTTATCTTTAGTTCAAGCGCCCACCAATATGCTCAATAAACACACACCAAAACTTTACGTGTTCAGATCATCTATTATTGTCAACAAAATCAATGTCAGACGATAGCAGTAAATTTTTTTTCGGTGTGTCATAGGCCGTAAGAAACGACACACTATGGCGATATCCCCCAAATGTTTTGGTAAAAACCTTCGAAGTAGCAAGTTTAAATGACATGTTCGGGTGGTAAAGTTATACGCTCAGAGAGCACAGGCTAGGAGTTCAAACTGAGCAGTGCCTAAGTTTATATTTATGAAAACAATTTTGGGTGATCATACTAAACTACTAACCGCATCTTACGGGGATTCACTGCATTATCACTGCAGACTGCTTTAAAACTTTGTTGCAAGAGAGTTGTCTGCTCGCCTGAAGAGAACGATGGAGTCTTACAGACTGAACAGAACGATGGAGGAGGCCTGTGGAGAACGATGGAGTCTTCCACCATGGTTAAAATGAAAAAAACAAATAACCATTTCATACTACCAAAGACCCATTGATGTGCTTTATGACCATTAGGTTGTGCACAAAAGCTGCAAATGTATTGGATATAACTATGAAAAACACGCCAATACTTCCCAATCCTGTTCTCTTCTAACATTGTCAAGGAGCCAAACTTGCAGACGACACCTCTGGAAACACGCATGTTTTCTGATGGCTGATTTTCCTCAAATCTCTCCGCGATCATGTCAAACCACTTCAATGTAGATTTGAAATAAAAAATGGGCTCACTTACTACACTGGGAACTGTTCATAGCTAGAATATTTCTAAAGAAACTATTTAGGTGAGGTTAAAGATTTCCTGAATTTCGAACAATGCGGTTTAAGTGAGGTAAAATTGAAAATTATTCTGACAGTATTGTCCATATCAATGAATTTCTGTTATTTTTCCATTTTTTAGCAAACAGAGGCATTACTGAGCAAACTCGTTCGTTCGACTACTTGATATGGCTGCTGTCCTCATTGCAAAGGTTGACGGTATTGCGAAAATATTGACCTAATGTGCACAAATTGACAAATGTACGCAATTGCAGAAACAATTTCATATTCGCACTTGACGGTTACCAATACGGAGTTTGGCTCACAAGATAAGAAAAAACATGACTGATCACTCTATAATGCGCACGCAGTGAGAGAGGTAGAGGATGACTACACAAGCAGTGTGTTGTCATCAGTTCCCTCTGCACTTGTACGCACGCGCTTGATTTCTCTGGCATGCAAAATCATCTCACCCCGAAAACTATACTTTTGCGAAGTGACTTTTTTTCATTTATATTTGAAGCTATTTAACATCGCTGCTTGTTTTTCTGCTTAAACACATCATTAGGTTCTGCCAAAATATTGTATATTTAAATATTGTGCGTGTAATACTACGCCATCTTTACAACCTGAGTAGAATTCCTACAATACAGAAGATTTAGTTCATGTAAAGCACATTTGCCGACGACTGATAGAATGTACGTTAAAATGCAGCAAAGGAAGGAAAACCATCATTTTCGTCCAATAATGGCTTGCAAAATATATCAATTTTAAACTCAATGGCAAAAAAAATGCAGTTCTAGGGCGGCAAATGTGATTTTACAAGTTTTTGCTGCAAGCAAGACCGTAAGCTCTTTTTCTTTTATTTTGTATTTATTCCTTCTATGGCCACGGTGGTTTAAAAGGTAAGGTACTCAGCTTCAGATCCGCAGGTCGGGGTATTGAATCCCGGCAGCGGCGCCTGCATTTTCGGTGAAAGCGAAAATGGCGAAAGCGCTGTAGGCCCATTCGCTCAGACTCGGGTGCAAGTTAAAGAACACCAGGGGGTCGAAATTTCTGCAGTCTTCTATACGACGTCTCTCATAATCAAATGGTCGTTTTATGATGTTAAATCGTACATTATAATCAATTATTATTATTATTCGTAGTTATTCGTTCATCACGACAGAAAGCTTCAATGAGAACGCCGTCAGTAACGAAATGAGAAGGTGGTTGGGATTGAGAAGCTCAAGATGTCCTTTTTATTCTTCATACAAAAACTGTAATAGAAACACTACATATAGAAAGAATTATTTGTGTGTACCTGAAGAGACGAAATCGTTTAATGCTAACATTCTGTTTCCTCCAACCATGCTAACAAATTCACTATTCCAAGTGTTTCTATTCCTACTATTAACAAGTCTGGGATACGCACTAAAAACTGTCAAAAAAAGGTAACACGTGCGGTCATCATCATCATAAGCCATAGCATTTTACATTTCAGAGGCACTGTAAGACGCTAGTTCATTTTAATATCTTCTGTTTGACCTTGGTTTTTGCGAGCCCGCTGATTTCTAAATTTCCTCACCTCACTTGACAGCACATGTCAACCTCGCCCATGTATCACATCACCCGGAATGCATTCCGTTGCACAAACTCAGACTTTCGCATTATGAGGCCTGCCCAGGAACAACAATACTCCATGTAAAATGCACAATAAAATCATAAAGCCTTAGTGGAAAACCCAGCTAACAACCGAATTTTCTTTACTTTGCGCGTAATGACCAACACACGGATGCTTCTTTACGAAAACTGTGCAGAGAATTTTAATGGCGTTCCTGCGAGTAACTGGGCTGTTTAAGACCTGGTATAAGACTCTTTGGCTTCAAGAGTACTCAGTTAGAACTATTCTCGGCCTTGTAGGGCACCCCAATGGCATAACCAAGGGGCCGCACATCCGGCATAAAGAGTTAAAAATGACGTTGTCAAAGATGTGCCCCCTTCTTCCCTCCTAAAAAACTTTTTGGCCTACATCCGTGGAGCAGACTATACCAGCCTGCTGCAACACCACAACCGCCGCCAACATCAACACAAGTGATACCGCGTGGCCGAATTTCATTTTATAAGCATGTGCTTAGCAGCATGAGCGCTTGTACACGGACTCCAAGGCCACAGTACAGGGTTTGCTATTTGCTTTACGCTGTGAATCTCGTGCACTACTGGTGCTGAGAAATAAGAGAGCTGCTCCCGACTCCACGTCAAAGGACATGGAATCACGTTTCAGTGGCTTCCAAGTCAATGCAGCATATTGGGCAACGGACATGCCGACGCAGCTGCTCGATCAGTACACAAACACGGTATAGAAGAGCCTATCCCATTCTCAAGAACCAATGCTGTCATAAAAATACGACTCACTGCTATTGAAGACGTAAAATTCCTGTGGAATACAGCAAGTTCACGGCACATGCGACTAAATAGACTGGACTCGTCTCGCCGACTTCGGCCTTCATCATAACTTTCTCGACTTGAGATGACGGCGGCTTTGCCAACTGTGGCTTGGTGTCACTATCACCAAATTATTGCCTCTCGGCATAGTAGACAGTGCCACTTGCAATATTTGCGACAGCAATCAAACAATTGAGCACCTTCCGTGCCACTGCCATCGCTACAGCGCGCACAGACTGCCTCTTGCTGCTGCGTTAGCCCGCCTTGACGACATGCCTTTATCAGAAAAGTCTGTGCTCGAACGCCGACACAATCCGTTTTCTGACAAATAATCAGTGAAGGCTTTATTAACTTTTTGCTTGAAGGTGGCCCATTAAATAGGTGATAGCACCTTCACTCTTCTTTTTCTCACGCGTCTGTTCTTTTTTTTTTTTTGCTTTCCGCCCCATATCTTTTCCCCATTCTCCCTCCCTCTACTGTACTGTAGAAAACCTGGTACTACATTTCTGGTTGACTTCCCTGCTTTTCTCTCAATCTATTTTCTTTCTCTATCTCTATTTCTATTAATCATGAACAAATCAAGCAAAACTGTGATTTATTTCTTAAGTGACAGCGATCAATACAAAAGTCGTGTCGTGTCGTTTACACCTACATTATTATATTTTTAGCGATAACAGTATTTAGATAACAGTGCCATATTGAAGCACAGTGTTGCTGTTTCTTGTGCATGAAATAAATGAAGTGTCAGTTGCATTGAGGCTGTCTGCGACTGCAATGAACAGGACGTAACTTCACAGATATGTGGCCTATTTGCGCAGATGCTTGGATTAAACACGTTGGTGCTCGGACTAAACTCTTCATTAATCCTCTACGCCCTATTTTCACAGGAAATATTCTTGTCGAAACACACGAGCTATCAATGGTAATGGTCACGAAACTATTTATTCGTGTCACATAAATACACTCTTAAACTGTAATACTTATAAGATTTTGAAATAACTGTAGGAAGCTCACACAATACCTCAATTTCTCAGGAGAAAGCTTACAAAATTTGGTACCAAAGATGATGGCGTAGATTTTGGGATTAATAAGACCAGAATTGCTTAGGTACCAATAAATATTGTTGCCTTAGGATGTGTTCACGAGCAGCTCTAATAGTATGAGCACGTCATTGCATTCATTCGACGTTCGGGCAGTAAAAGATGATAAATACAAACGCCACAAGCTTTGTCTTAGACGCAGCGCATTGGATCCTATTACGACATATGACTTTTCCTATGACTTTTTCTATAGTTCGAAGTAAGAGAGAATAACTAAGCTTTACTAATATGAATCTATTTTCATGTGGCGACAATGATAAAGGTGCGGTAATGTAAGTACAGTTTCTCCTTTGTGCTCGCAGCAGCGATCTTCAGTTATTCAAATATGTCATTTGTTTTGCTCCTTGCAGAAAGCCCAGTCATGAAGACAATGGTAAAGCTGTGGCTTCAGGTAATTATGATAGTTACGTAGAGTGTCTTTACTGGGTAAGTTGCTTGCATTTCATTTGCGATGAAAGGCAGACCGGCATCCCGCTTTTTCCTATGTCACAATGATCACAATTCCAGGAGAAGTTTGTACGTTTTCGCGATGGGGCCATTCCCTACCAATATTATTAACTTGCTGATTGTCACCTTCAATTCCAGTGATTCCTCTTCTTTGAGCACCTATAAATAATTTTGTTTTGAAGTGTTACAGTAAATTATTCATACTATACTCATCGTAGGAAAAGCATAAGCAATGTTTTCATGGCTTTGTTGAGTGTGCAAATCCAGATTTTCAGTAAGACTTCACATACGTCCGTTCGTCCGCGTGCCTTTGGCCCTGAATAACCAAGCTGTTAGATTGGAAAGGTTGGAATATTGGGAGCAGATAGATTGAAAAAGATAACTGGCCACCACCATCTATAGCACGGAACCAACATGAAGACATCTAGACCGCTTTCATAAGCCTTCCAGCACCTGGCGTAATGGCGCAGAAACTCACTTAGCAACAACACTGAGTACCTTATAGGCAGAGTGTTTTGCAAGAAAAGTCAACAAGCAAAATATATTCAAGTAACGTTTTAATGCACCTATTTAGCAAGCGTTATTGCAAACCATCAATAACATAGGCTACCGTATTCACCACAATTTCTCGTCATATCACTAGTACTGTACTATGGTGCAACTGTGTTACTGTGCTATGGCACAACTGTACTACGTCGTATCTGAGTACTGTACTATGGCCCTGTACACCTTTCCAAAAGATAAGAAAAGGCTCGCGAATATGACGAAATTGTAAAAGCAGGCTGCTGTCGCTGCCTTTATTGGACCTTTACTAACTTCTTGCTACCTTTTTACTACTCAGGTAAGGAAAAACTTATGAGCGGAGCTGTTGAAAACTGTTTCGTAGCATTACCAAATTTTTGCGATTGACCTGTTAAATACGCTTTCAATCAATAAATGTTGCAATAAGTTATTGTATGGATGACGTTTAAAACCAGACAAAGAAATGATCAATAAAATTAAAAACCAGAATTTTCTTTTATTTAAACTACAGACCCCGGACATGGGTGCATCTTTTTCGCTTTTCTTAAAGCGTAGAAGCTAAAATACAAATATACGGGTTGAATAACGTAGATATTTTAATATACCTATAAGTTCCAATAAAGGCTAGAAGACGACTAAAACAACATTTCATTTCAGCAATGAGAATATGCTGCAAGACACAGGGCAATTTCATATTATGAGGGGAAGGTGAAGATAGAGCTTGATAGTCACACGATCCTCTTTTCCCGTGAGCGCGCATTTATGAAAACGAGAACTTTGGGATGAATCTAAATTAATGAAGCAAATGAAGCACTTTAGAAGGACCTCTATTTGTTTTTTCAGCATGTCCTTGCGCGAGCACAAGCTTTTTGGAACTATGTTAGCTCAATGCGAGAGTTAGTATAATTGAAGTGCCCGAGAACCAAGAGGAATCACATTTTGTATTAGGTTTTCAGCAGTGTTTGTCCAAACAATAACACCAGCGATTTGCTCTTGTCAATGTCCGTTACCTACGGAGGGCGAGGGGTGGTGAAGAGGATTGCTATAGCACTGATGAAGTTACTGACTTCAATCATCCTGGTATTACTTCAGTCTCGCAATAATTCTGTCTGTCTTTTGCAATATACAACGGCTAGAAGAATAGCAACACTTACGCAATAAAAAGCATCAAGCAACTTTGCAGCGAAATATAACAAGTCAGGGCCACAAAACTGTACAACATTCTGCAAGTAATTGCTACTATGCTACGTTGGTGTTGGAAGGCCTCTAGCGTATAATACCTACAACCATTAGCACAGGGATGTACATTTACTATCTTTTATTTTTCATACGCCGAGCTAGCTCAGCAATTATCTTGATTGATTGATTGATTTGTGGGGTTTAACGTTCCAAAACCACCATATGATTACGAGAGACGCCGTAGTAGAGGGCTCCGGAAATTTCGACCACCTGGGGTTCTTTAACGTGCAACCAAATCTGAGCACACGGGCCTACAACATTTCCGCCTCCATCGGAAATGCAGCCACCGCAGCCGGGATTTTATCCTACGATCTGCGGGTCAGCAGCCGAGTACCTTAGCCACTAGACCACCACGGCGGGGCAGCAATTATCTTGTGGCACTGGTAAGGGGAGCACGTGTGCTTTAATTACTGACCGTGGCGGCCGTATTCCGATGAAAGTGAAATGCGCAAACACATGTGTTTCCCGATTTAGCTCGATGTGAAGAAATTTCTGGTGGCCACTAATTCCAGAGGTACCTGCTACTGAGCGCCTCATATATGACATGTTTTCACGCGTGATACCTACAAGAAAAAAAGATTAGTGCGAGCTGTTCGCAACCCATGTAGGCCTCCCTTAAAGTTCATTGAGGCTATTATAGTAGGTTTTATTGCCCAGTTTCAACTCTCATCACCCGGTACCCAGAGTAGCGTGTCAGGTGAAAAGCCATGCAAATTTTTCCAGTTCTACAAAAAACATTTCTCCCTCTCTATTATAACTTGTATATTAAACCTTGTTGAGGCAGTATTACGAAAATTAGACATAACAAGTTGTGTCTTTTTCCAAATTTGTTACATTAAGAGTCGAAGGCTGCATTACCTCGCACACCTTATCTCAATACAGGCACATAACCTATACTACTCATCCTAACCCTACTGAAACGTTCCGTATGAAATTTTACGGAAAATATATGGACTCCGTAACATTTACTTATGCTACATACAGAAAAAATATGGAGTTTTATGGAAATATACGGAAGTTGTATGGCACTTACGGAAGGCTTTTTATGGAGTATAAGGAAGGATAAGGAAATTGTATGGTGTATACGGAAAGCTTTTTATGGAGTATACGGAAAGATAAGGAAAATGTATAACATATATGGAAGGCTTTTTATGGAGTATATGGAAGGATAAGGAAAGATAAGGAAACTTATGGAGCATACGGAGAGTTCATGATGGAAGATATGGAAGGATAAGGAAAGTGTATGGAGTGTACAGAAGCTTTCATAAGGAAAATTCAGAATGTAAGGTCTTACGGAAATATACAGATTTTGTAAGGTGCTTACGAAAATGTGCAATAGTGTATGAAAGGCATGCGGATTTTTGCAAAAATGTGGAAACTCTACAGTTGTTGTCACATTTTCAGCAGGAAATCCGAGCTCTATAAAGTTATAAATCAATGCACAGTGACATATATAGTACAAAAGAATAACGCAGGCTAGTCTGTGTTGTCAGTCACCGCTGTTCGCCCTTTTCCAGAATGAATACAACTTCTGCAGATGACCAGGTGCTAAAGTCTGTCACACGGAAAATGTGTCATTCACAAGGAATGACAATAACTGTCATTTTACTTGCATGCTGTCACACGAAAACAAATCAAGCAAAAAGCATAACTTCAAGGGCTCGTTTTTTGGTATAAACATATAATGAGAACTAAATTCAATGTGAATGAACTTGTCAATATTAATGAAATTGTTCTAATTAACATAGGCAAAGAGAAATGTCATTTTAAAATATCGACCATGAGCTTAGCTCTCCTGAGCACCGACAAAAGAAATGAAAATCTATGAAAACTGATTGCATGTAGCCTAAAAATTATTTTTTATTGATAGTATGTGCTCCTACAATATAAATACAGCTATATGCAACTTGCCACAGCTTCACGACAGAAACGAGGTAGGGGCAGAGGGAGTGGTCAGAAAAATAATTAAGTATGAGAGCACAACTGATATGTACAAACACATAATGGTGCTTATCATTGATGCACGGATGGTCGTGTATAGAGCTGGGTCGTTTTGAGATTTTCAAAAAGCATTGTTTCAGACCACCATGCAGATTACGCTTCATTGTAGTGCTACATAAGACACAACTTATGGGCCAGCTTTAATGAAAAAGAAGATTATAGGTTAAACAAATGCTTTAAAATATATCATATCATGGCTGCATGGACGCATACAAGCTATGTAAAGCGAAATAAAGTGAGGAGGCATGAGCTTCTCTTGATGCTTCAGTTCTACATAGATGCTTCAACTGTGCTGCAAGAAATTTAACCAATGTCTGTGTGTGCAACATTGTCCATTTTAAACTATCTATATGTATATATAAAATTCCTACTGCGAGTTAAGCTACGTAGCACTCCATAACTCTTCCTTTATTAAGGACAATTTTTCAAACAATCAACATTATTCATTTTCTGTCTCATGACTTCGTGCCCGCAATTCTTGGTTTGGCTCGATCACAATTGTGCAGCCCTTATTTTGGAGGAATAAAAAAAACATCAACCAAAATATATTTTGGAACTGCTTCTTGGTGATATTGCCTTCCCTCAACTGCCACAGCTTGAGATGAGTCATATAGCAAGTCTCGCGCATACCTAGGGCCTACCCTTGAAGAAACTGGTCCGGCTGTGAAATGCTCAGTTTTTTCTCAAATAATTCTTTTGGTGTTAGTTTTCTCACTTCTCGAGTCCCTTCACAATCAAGCAGACCCAATGTTCCCCTTAGTCCTTAATTTTCTTATATTATGAAATAAATAAAAAATTAATAATGAAAATAAAAATAATAATAACTGTTGCGCAAAAAACACAGTCCCACATACGTACTTGAACGCAATATTGCTTTTATTTTGTTTTAGAACCTAAGGCATTAGAAAAGATAGCAGTACAATAAAAACGTTGAAAAAAAATTAAACTTGGCGGGACTCGAACCTGCGCCGCTCAGTTGAGCTCGCGTACGTGAACTGAGTGCGTTAGCTTGCTAAGCTATTCGCGCTAAAGGGAATACGCGGGTTTAAGTTATGTATATAAATTTGCTTTTTACACGCTATGTGTTGGCATAATTATGTACGATATGCGATCGTATCTATTGTTGTGTGCATATGTTTTGGGATTGTATATACGTCACATGCTTTTCGCATGTCTTTCAAC